ATTCACTTCATAGTTAACACTGTAAGCCAGTAACCGAATCATGAAAGCCCTACAGAATGCCTCTTAGATACATTAAAGTATTTGGGCAGGAATTAGTGTTTGCATTTTGTTGAATTATAACGTAATACGTTATTTCAACCTTTGACTTGTTCACAGCAGTCCTGCCTCCATGCACAAAGACAACGGAAGCAAATCCAACCCACTGCTGTAGGAGGCTCTTCTTACTCCCTCAATTTCAAGTGGTTTACTCCTAATCTTTGTCAAGAGACATGAGAAAGAATCCAATTCCACAAATGCACCTTGCAAGCAGACATTTTTCTTCTGCTAGATCTGACCTTTCGCTTCAGTTTTTCCACACTCTAATATCCCTGCCTTGAATGACAGGTTTATGATTAGGGGACAACATAAATGTTCGGGGAAATAGAAGAGTTGGCTCTAACCTTTGGTATTGTGGTACCAGGAGGCTTTCAGACCTTCAGACACCCTGTGACCCAAATTAGAGAAAAAGTCCTATCTAAAATTCTTAATAAAGTTTGAAGAAGCATTGAGTTGGGAAAAAAAAAAAAAAAAAACCTTCAAAATGTCTGGACCTTGGGAAATCTTCCCCCTAATTGTGATTCAGTAGTTCATTCACTGTAAAATGTGTGATAAATGCCAAAGAAGCAATAGCACATTCTGCTCAGTATGAAGTTAAAGACATGTTTGCCTTTAGACCTGTGAATTTAATATATAAGTTTCTAAGTGAGCCCTATTCTTTCTGTCTTAATACCACTGGGCTGAGCAACAACTTTATAGCTTTTTTTTTTTTTTTTTTTTTTTCCACACTATTTTGTTGTCTGCTGGGAACAAAGGCACAGCTTGTAGATGAAGGAAAAAAATCTTATTTCCTTACCCCAAAATGTGTTGGCTTTTGTTGTTTTTTTTGTTAGTTTTCTTTTTAATAACACAGTATTGCAAGTTCGATGTCAGCAGCTCTTACTCTGAAGATCAATAATTCAAACAATTCAATTGCACCTATTTGCATATGTAACTGACAAAGTATCATTTCATCTGTCCCAACAAAGAAAATGAAAGATTTGAACCCTAATTTGTACTTTTCTGTAAATGAAAGGTCTTCTGTGGTGCTTCTATTGATGCACGAAACATGAAGAGCTGAGCTAGCTCAAGTTTTTCCATCCTTTTATTCACCTTTGTACATTTTTTTTAAATCAAAGAATATTGTGAAAATAAAATGAGAACATCAGAGCTTGATCTCCAGATATTTAAACTTTTGTTATCCCTTATTCACCTTGTTAGAGGCAATGAGAAGTAAAGACAGGGATTCTCTTGGTGTGAGCACACTTTCTGAAGCAACAACACTCCCACAGCTATTTTTCTGGGCATTCATCGTGCTGGAGTGGAACCTCTGGTCAGAGAGGGTGAGTCCTCCCAAAATATTCAGGAAAAAAGGTGATGGAAGAACTAGGTTCAAACACAGGCTCTGACACAGGGAGGAGAGACTTGACCTCGATTTTTCCACATCTCGGGTAAAAAAAAAAGTCAGCTTTTCAGAACCTTAACTTTTTATGCAATTGATACAGATCCTTTGGGTTGTTGAGAGAGAGAGGAAAAATAACAACAGACTTTCCTGCTGTAGGCCTCTCTACTCCTTTCCTGTCACCCTCATATTTTAAGAACATTTGCAAAAGAACTCGTTCCTCCGGAAGCCAGGGTGTGCACTGAAGCTATCAACAATTTAAAAGCACATTCAATTCCATAATACTTGCATACTTTGAAACATAGAGATTTGAGAAATTTTGGAAAAAAAAAACAAAACAACATTGCTCTGACATTTTCAGTTTGAAAAACTCACAGTAGAAACCTCCTCTTGAGGTTTTATGTAGTGCTTCCATTGGATATTGATCAGTCACTGCTAGCACTTGCTGTATTGCCAGTTTGTTCCCAGCTTTGGGTCAAAGTAGGCTAAGAAGGCTCAGACAAGATGTCCCCTCAGCACAGAGCAGCCAAGAAATCACCTTCTAATGAGTGTGAAGAAGGCAGATTAAATGTCTAAGCAATTGTAGCAATTAAATATTTAGTTCTGTCCTTGACTTGCCCAAGCCACAGTTGTTTTGACTTACTGACCCTGGTCACCACTCCACTCTCTCTTTTGGTCATTATTTGTTCTTTTTTTTTTTTTAAAAAAAAAAAAAAGTGCAGGGCAGTTTCTATGGAGAAGATATTTTCACCTTGAATTACAGTTTGATGTGGTAGCTGGCAGTATTACCTCTACCTGGATTTCAATCTTGAAGCCTTCAGTAATTAGAGATGGCCTGTACAGTGTTTTGAGATAAGAATTAGATAACTAACTGCTCACCAGGCAAACAGTCTGAGCTCTGGGAAAAATAAATGTTCTCCAGTCTGCCAGACACCTTGCAGGTAATCTTGGTTTTGTGCTCTGTTCTTAACTATTTAGGAAATTTACTGGTCAAAATGAGGAAGCTCCTTTAGGTTCAACATAGCTCCTCTGGGTCTTGTGATTTTCTTACAGTTTCTTGATACCTTTTGGAGAGATTTCAGGAAAAAATAAAAAAAGGTATGCATTTTTTCTCCTTTTGGGGTCTGAGTTTTGGGTTACGCTAATACTATCACATCTGTCCTGACACATGGCAGCTACCAAGACTGATTTTGGGGTCTGTCCCTGGGAGGCTGCTGCTGCAGACAGGGCTGTGAGCCCTCAGCAGCACAGCCATCAGTGTTCCTGCTGGGAATTTTTGTCTTTTTTTTACCTTCCAGGAAAGTTTCCTCGCTTTGTGTCCCTAGAAGCTTAACTAGAGCTAGTCTAGTTAGACTGGTCTAGTCTAGCTAGACTAGAGCTGTCTCCCTAGAAGCTTAACTCAGCTGCAGGACAAAATCCATTCAGATATTCAGTAATACAGCATGGAGCACTTAGCAGACAGGCACGCACTTGAACATAGGCTTAGATGAGCCCGAAAAGCTGCTTTTATTGCATTTTTTTCCTACCGTCCTCATAGGATATAAAAGCCTAAGAAGGTAGATCTGATGAAGAAGAGAATGCTGAGCGTGAAGAGCTCAATAGAAGAAGAAATACAAGTTATTAGAGGAAAAGAAGGAGCAGGTATGAGTTTCCTGGGGTCCTCACCTTTGGCCCTGCCACATCTCCATGGGCTGTTTCTTGGGATGAGGTGGCTGATAAAAGCAGACACATACTCTGCTCTTGCAGAAGGAAAAGCACAAAACGGGAAAGGCTTTTCTCCTCCGATTACCTGGGAAACTGCACTGAGTAATGCACATTTTCAGAGCAGACCACTAGACAGGAGTTTAGAAATAATCCCCAGAGATGTTAAATGTCCTGACTGCAGGTGACAGGCATCTTCCTTACCCAATCTTCTGGACTTTCTGCTCTTTTCCACAAAGCAGAGTGGTTTAACAGCAGAGCAGCAAGGTTACTACTAACAGCACCTCTGCATACTTGTTAAATTCTTTATTAGGATGTGCTCTGGGAAGGAGATGTTTAAATCTCCTAAGGGAAATAAAGTTTTGTAAATACTGAGGAGTTCTGTAAATGGGAGACATAAACATTGGCTGCCATTTAAATGAAAGCAGCCACTTTCTTTCTTACTTGCATGCTCAGAAATGCCCAAAGTTAGGAATCCTGATCCCACAGTGAGTGTAGAGGTGTGAAATGCCTACAGCAGGACCCCTCGTGCCCCCGTTTTGGGGCCTGCCAGCAGAGCTGCAGCCTGCAGCATTGGACTGGTGACTCAACGGATACCTCATAATACTAATTAATAACTTACTTATTGGAATAATAACCTAAAATACTTTTTTTTTTTTTTTCTGCCTGTGGAGCCCTTGCTATTTTCCTTCTTGCAAGGAGATGCAATTTGACATTTGTTTTCTATGGGAAGACCTCTAGCCAGAGATATCTTGTTGCTTGCCTGAGCTGCAAGAATGAATCACTGCTGACTCGTGTGTACACATACACCTTTTAAATTACCCCATGGGTTTTGGAGAGAAATCCCTGAGGAGATGTGCACCCTCCAAGTGCTACTATGATGATGGGGGTCAAAGCCCTCACATAGGTGTGGGAGAGCTGAAGTCCAGTCCACCCTCACTCACTGCTTCTTCAGAGCAATGCAGAAAGTTCTGCAGTGAGCTCCCAGGGTGAAAGTAAATGCAGGGACAAGAAGGGTTGTGTACACCAGAAGAAAATAAAACAAACCCTTTCTGCTGTAACCAGCCATCCCACTAATCCCGCTCTGCCTGAAGAGTGCTGCATATGAAGTAGTTCTCATCATAATTTCTCTCAACACCCTGCAGCTCTATCCTCTGAACTATTTTCTGCCTTCCCAGCTTTCACCTGCAGCTCAGTATGCCTGAGCACTAGCTCCTGACTTCATTAATAAAAATAAAAAAGAGCTATCTTTATTTTAGTTTGAAGATGAAAAAAAATATCTCTTCTACAGCTTGATCTCTTGCAGACAAAACTTTCTTAAATGATGTAGAAAGTCAAGACAGGCAGGGTTCTTGAACCTTCCTTCTTCCTTTGGCCTCTGAAGATGAAAGAAGGCACTTAGCAGTGTCATTGCACAAAGGTATGTTCATCGCCCATTTGCAACAGCAGGCTGAGATTAGGATGAGGGAGGATTAGCCGAGGCACTGGGAAGGAGCCCATCTCACTATGTTAGCGCAGCTGCCAGTTAATGGCAGAGAAGTTCAACCCTATTAAAAACTGGGGAACTTGTAGCTTAATTTCTTAAGTGCGTGACCTCATTTTTTGCTTCTAGAGGGAGTGAGGGAAAAAGAAAGAGAAAATGCAGTGGAAATGCTTAGTCACGGCCTGAACCAGTGATGAAGCACCTGGTGCAAAGGCAGGGCCAGCCCAGAAGAGCTCAGGTGAATGCAATGTACCTGAGTAATGGAAGGGGTGGAGGTGGGATCCACCCCTTCCCAGATCTCATTTAAGGGTTGGCAGTGAGAGCGAAGGTTTGGGTGGTTTGTTTTGAGATCCTGTTGTGTTTGATGCCTTCCAAAGGTAAGTAGTTTTTTTCCTTTATTTCTGTGCCTACTGCTGTGTTTGAGTGAATCTTGTCTTGTTGAAGTATGGGATCTTGCTGTTCTGTTGCTGCTGTTCTTGTACTTTCCATTGCATTAGAGAAAGAAAGGTGTTAGCCTTTATGCTGAGGAGGGGCATTCTGGTGGGTGACTGGCCTTGTGTTTTTGGGGGTGTGTTTTGAGTCTGGGGGGGAACTGGTTTTAAGAATTTTAACTTTAGAAGCTTTCAGCTTGTTACATTGGTGGCTGTGTGCTGTTTTGTATTCTTACCTGCTTTCATTCTGCTATTCTGCAGGTGGTTGTGTAATATTTCTGATTCCCTCAGGGGTTAAAAACTGTAATGTTTTCCTTCTTAAGGTAATGAGAGAAAACATAGCTGCAGGAAGCAGAATCCTGGGTTATCGTTTAGATTAATGATTCTGATGAAAATAACTGGAAAAAAAAACAGGGTAGGCAAGAATAAACACTTCATGTAGGTTTCTCTGAAAATAATGCCTCTTATTTATTTTTATAGTTCAGACATGAAGAGCACTATAATGCTGTTTGGTGAAACATGGGGAGGTGTTGCAGATCTAAGTGCTACAAGGACTTGTTTGTATTTAGCAACCACTTGCTCACTACCTTGCTCCATTTGGTTTAAGAATGTGAACTGTGGTACTTCGATAGTCTTGTCCACGAGAGCTTTTGCCTTGTTTTCTGATGGCTTATGATGTCTGAGCATGGGTGCCATTGTGAAGTAGAAGGACTATCTGAGAAGACAGGTCAGCCTTGTTCTGAAAAGGTGATTGTAATTTGAAGCCCCTGGTGAGCTGAAGGGCTGCCAGTAGAGCTGAGCCTGTGGCAGTTCTCTAAGGGCATTTAGCTAGGTTGTGCACTGCGATGGGATGCTGAGAACACATTTCTTGTTGTCAGAAACTGCCCTGATATGAAACAAGCTGCTCTGTGACTCCATAGTGGGTCTGGGTTTGTTCAACAGTGTCCTTGTTATGTTGCTCATCTGTCTGTCCTTGTATTGCAAAATTGGGTTTCGGTCAGCAAAGAAATATGATGGTGGTTCAACTCTAGCATTTCTGTATTGCATTTTATCACAACTTCAAAATTCTTGTGGCTGCATCGTTCATTCTTGAAAGAACCAGCAAGTCTTGCAAATAATCCAACAGTGCACAGCCACATGTGTAAAGGTCTCAGTAGGTGTATTTAACCTTGTGAATTGGTTTCATTTCACACATGTTTAGTGCTTTATGGAAACTTATGTTTTTATCTGCATCTTAAAAATTCTTCAATATATTGAATTGACCGAAGTTCAACAGATTTGACAGATATTCCAATAAGCTCTCTTTCTGAATGCTGATCAACTCAGTGTTAATGGGCAGGCATTCCTTGTAGCTGCGTTTCATCTTGAATGCTGTCAAAATAATAGTGGATTCTACTCATGCACCTCCAATTTATTCTAGTTAATGGTGCTTTCGTTGTTCCTGAAATCATTCTTCAGAGATGATTTCAAGTGACATCTGTGTAGGCCTAAAGACCTAAATTGCTTTCTAAATCATATTTGCTTGTGCCCAGGGATTTAATTAAAATATTTTAAAATACAGAAAGAGGAGGATTGGAAGATTTAGAAATATTACCCCCGCTCTCCCTTAAGCAGCCATAGTTGGAGAGAATGGAGACTGTTCATAAATATGCTGTAATTGCCTTAATGAAGTACATAATCACATGATATTGGAGAAGTAGAGATGAAGGTTATGTTGATGTAATGGAAGAGTCTTTCCTAGTTCTAATTAGAACTTAAAATTTCAAGGCTTACATATCTATCTTGAACTGTGTACACTTTGGGCATACGGCAGCTATTTTATACATCTGGGTTTCACTTCCTAGTAAGATACACCTGCATTTTGGGTTTGCACTGTTTAAACAATAGGAAACTTCATTGCCAAAGCAGATTGTCTAGTTTTTGGGATAAGGCAAATAAAAAGCCAAACAACTGTAGGTGTGTTCAGGAGTTCAAACTAGCCCGCACCTCTACTGTCCTCTACATTCAGGAAAATATTGACCAGAGGTATGGGAGTTCACATTATGGAATTGTTCTTCTAGTGATACAGCTCAGACTGAATCTGTTCTCCTGCAGCTGCCCTGAATTGCCGAGAATTTGCATGATTAAGGAGGGGAAAAGTTCTTATGCTATTGTTGCTAAGGAAACTGCCGCCTTGATATTTGCCTAGTGAGAACAGCTGTCTCTTTGTATCTAAGCAAAGGAGATCTGGAAGCAACTCTTGGTAGTGGCAAGGTTGCATATATGATGAAGACTGTGTGGGGTTACTGACAAGTCCTGTTTGCAGTTGGTGGAGGGCTGTGCCTTGCTGGTTGGCTTCGTGGTGAGCCAAGTAACCTCTGTATCATTATTTCTAATTACTCTTTTTTTTAAACTCATGGAAAATGAATTATTCTTTTTTAAAATATTTATTATTCTGGAGAATAATACCGTGCTATATAAGCCAGCCTGAAGAAAAATGTGTTCTATTTATTTTATGGCTCCTGTGATGTCGGCTTGGAAATATGTTAGAATTTCAGTTGTCATGTTCCCCTTGCCTTCACATCTGATCCCCTCTTGTAAATTTGTCATTTGCTTTGACCCAATGTATCAAGCACTGAACTTGGGGAAGTTGCACGTTTTGATTTAGTGACTCTGGCCAGAGCAAATTTAGTACCATCTGCCATGAAAGAAGTTATATGATAGCTTAACCTCTAGATGATTCTTTCCTTCTCCCTGCTCTTAAGTATGGCTCTTCAGAAGTTACTACTCAGCAGCTTTGGATTCCTAATGATGCATGTAAGTCTTTCTGATGCAGCCACAGTAATTCTGTATTTATTTCAGTCATGCCCTTTGTGTATTGGAGTGCCACTGTACAGCTCAATTTTGTTTTTTGGCCCTGATCTATTGTCCATTCAACTTTAAGTCACTGATTTCCTGATATCTACTATAGATACACTCAGTTGCTCTAATCACACACTTTTTTTTCCTAAAATATTTCCAGCAGACCTGCACTTTTTGTTAGCCATCATTCATATTCTCTGTGGTATGTCTTTAAAACCAAAACAAGCAACAGATTACTTTTTTCCTTAGTTTCTAAAACTAGAAGTTGAAAGGCAGCTCCAATTTTCCATGCGTAATGTGCAAGCAATAACAACAAAAAAACACAACAAAAACTTCTCTTCAGCCTTTACTCCCTTAAGGAGGCATCTTGCTGTGTATCCCTCCCTGTGTCATAGCATCCACTAGTGGTTGTAGTACGTAAGACTGTCTTATATTTGAAAGTGTGTGAGGGAAAGAGGTAAAGATCTTTCTGTGTGGTTTCATCTCATTTCCAAGATATCTGCCTTTTTTTTCTTTAATAGTCCTATGTGCTAAATCTTTCTTGGCTGTGTTTTTCAGACACTGACTATTGGTTGAACAGAAGTCTTCTGGTTGAACAGGGCATAATCTTCCTGAAACATATTTTTATCCACATCTATATAACAACATTAATTTTTAACAAGTTGGGATTTTCATCTTATCAGAGGACTGCTTGAGATAGAATGAAAGATTCAAGCTTAAGATAGAGCACTTTTGTAGAATATGGCACAAAGAAAGATATTAGTGTTTGAAGTGACTTTTAGCTTTCCTGCATTCTTTGTGTATCTTTAGCATTCTCTGCTCTCTCTAATCTCCACTGTATCACTCAGTTCTTTTAATTCTTTGTGCTGCACTTTGAGCATCAAAAAGCACATTCAGTGCCCAAAAACCTTCACTCTGACGTTTGCTCTTCAACAGAATAGTTTTGATGCATAGAGAACAAGAATAAAGAAGTGCAAACAGTGTAAGGGAAGACAGGAATGAAGAGAGAAGAAAGGGGCTCTAATGAGAAAGATGAAGGTACAGTGACTCTCCTGTAAGGAGATGATGAAAGTCTGTGTAACATGCAGAAAGAAGTGTTTGTTATTTTCAGAAACTCGTGAAGCACCTTGTGGCAGTCAGTGGAGCTCTCCTGGGCCCGCGCAAAGCATTTCAGTTCTGTAAGAGCACAAAAACGCTTCTAATGCTGCTTGAGCAAGAACGCTAAGAACAGAAGCATCTCCTTCTGTCATGTGATGGAAGGCCAAGTAAAACTGTGTCTGAATGTGACCACTGCCCTGGCCTTGTCAGAGCTTAGTTATGGAAAGATGGTCAATGATTTAAGTCGCTTTGGAATTCTCTTGATCTGGTTAATTTAAATTCAGGTAGTTCTCACCTTTTGTCTTGTGTTCAGCTCCGTGTACCAGAGGGAGCCTCTCAGCAGTAGAGGGGAGGCAGCATTGCTCTAAACTTTCCTTCTAGTTTCTGGTGTAGACCTGTGCTGTAAAGATAATTTTGATGTATTTTCCTCCTTAAGATAGACACCTAAAACAGCTTTGGGACTGTTAGCACTTGGATGTTTGTGCACAACACCGCTGTGAAATGATGTCTGTCTGTAGAACCCATCTGATATGTTAGGCTGTGCAGTCAGGTACCTCCAGGCCAGGAGAATGGCTGTATGAGTGGCCTTGTAATTGAATATTCAAGCTTCTTCTGCAAATGTAATAGCTGCAATGGTGGTCTCTTCCAGTATTTCTACCTTTTAAGAGACAAGGCACATCTCTTGCTAGTGAACTTTGATAAAAGATGGATGTGAACAGCTTAAAAAAATGTTAGGCAGCTGATCATGGTCCACAGAAAAGGTATCATCTCAATTTTAAAACTCTTCATGCTTGTGCCAAAGAAGAGAATATGAATTAACTGAGAGAGCTAGAGCTTTTAGCTGTGCTTTTTATCATACAGGAGGGCCATTAAAGAAGCCTTACAAAAATGATAAAATCTTTTCCAGGAGATTTCATGTATATAAAAAAAAAAAGTAAGCAAGACAAAAAGCCAGTGAAGCTTTCTTTTTGTCTGAGCTCGCTGCCTGCAGTTGGATGTTTTACTGG